AGCCATAGTGTGAACCAGGATTCTCTGTCGCCACAACAGACAGATATGACTCCAATTTCTGATAACTTTCTTCCATGTTTCCTTGTAATACATCCGTCAGCTGACGCTTGATCCGGGAAGCGGTCTGACGATTCGATTCAATGTTTTTGCTGAGAAGGAATTCGAGAATAGCTTTACCCTTCACGGATGCCCAGTCGTCGCTGTAGGCCGGAAGCATTTCGCGCTCAACAATTCCGCGGATTGTCGCGAAAGACATATCACGGTTGTGCTGACGCAGACCTGATGTTGCTAGATCACCTTCCACGAATGAATCCCCTTGAACCCAACGTGGCGGTAGTGGTCGTGAGCTATACACATCTTGGTAACTTTCCATTTGTCTCGAATTCCATACACCGTGATGCAAAATGGACAAGAGGGAGTTGTGCCAGGCGTCAGTTGCTGCTGACCGTTTAACACTTTGCACTCATATCTGGCATTACCCTCCTTCTTCATCTTGCGAAAGCTATTTGTCGCGACACGAATGGAAAACCCAGCTTTACTAGCAAACTCTCGACATCGTTGTAGCAGTACCGCTTTCGTTCCAAATGACTCTGGTGCAAGGTTAATCCCTCGATCGACAACCGATCCATACGTCTCAAGGTCGTTTCGTTCCAGACCCACGTTCAAGTCACTTCGTAGTAACCCCAGGTTTCGGAGAATTGAAACATCCTCCAGCTCAACACAACTAACGCGCAACGATTCGTGACGATCAGGTGTTCTGCTCTTCGACTTTGATGCATTCGATTTCTCGGAAGTAGTGGAGCTAGGTACAGCCACATTCAACGGTGCAGGTGTATCGTCTCGACTCCTTGTGTTACATGACGTTAGCTGGTCTCTTGCAGATAATGGTGACACGTTTGCAGTCTCCGACATTTTGGCTTGGCTAACAGTGCACGTAATCAGTCTTTGCGAGAGCTCAAAAAATGATTAATGAAGGGTCGTGAGCACCTCGTCCTGGCAAGGCGATGGGGTTTAAAAACTGATTGGCCAGGAGAAGTTGCGAAACGGACTGGCTGTAGAACGGTCATGTCTTCTTTTAGCTCGATCAAGTGGACAATGTTTCCTGGGTGTGAGCTCCACTGGAAATACTAGGCAGTAGCAATAATAAGTATGATCGTACGATTGCGCCTGTGTGGCCTTGTGCGAATCGTACGATATTACTTTTAAGACTTTGATATATGTTCTTAAATTTTAAACGGTCATTCTAAATTTGATTATTTAATTTTAGCAATGATGCATTATATTTTTGGTGTCAATCTACTTATTTTTGAAAAACGCACCTACTTATTTTTCCATTTTGGATTGCTAAAGTTAATTCCTCCTCCTCTTCTTCTTTGCCTTTGTCTTTCGCTACATGTACTATTTTTGCTTCTGATACTTCTCCTTCTTTGTGTGAGGTATTGCTGCGGCTTTGCTTTCTAAAATTCGCACAAACCGTTTATTTAGGAAGGGATTCCGTACCAGTATAATGGGTCCTTGAACTGGTGGGAACCACCCTATTTAGGCCTCGCCCCAAAGCAACTTAATACCGGTAATGGAGCTTCCTGACTTCACGAACGATTTGACCAGCGACCTCCACGAGGTTCTAGCCGACGACGACCAGCGCACCAAGAGCCGACTGCGCGCCAAGCGCCTCTACTACAAGAAGCGGGTGCGAGCAGACACCAATAGTGCTAACTGATTCCTTACAAACTAATGGTTTGTGCTCTCTTTTTCTCGCTGGTTAGAACTTGCTTGACGATCTCCAGCGCGACGTCGATGTCCTGGAGGTCGAGTACGAGCGGCTTCTGGCTGTCCACCACAAACAAGACGCGCACTCGACGCTCGAGTCCACTAAACAGGACCCCAGTAGCGCCGTCCACCGCGCATACGTGCAGCTATCGCAAGTCAAGAGCGCACTGATGAAGGAGAACGAAGAGCTCAAGGGACTGCATGCAAATTACCAAGAGATGGAGAAACAGATTACACAGCTAGCAGCCGCCCAGAAGAAATCTTTACGGCTGGCTGAGGAAGAGCAGAAACACAAGCGGAGGAACCCCGTGCTCAAGGTGAACCCGCTCACACAGGACCAGTGCGCGGAGATCGCACAGAAGTCCTATTTAGAGATTAAGACGTTCCGAGAGAGCGATACATGCTTCTCTACTGGAACGAGCGTGTTGGGGTGGCGAGATCGACACGTTCTGCGCCACAACAAGCTCATGTTCTCACTGGATAAAACTTTTCAGGGACGGGCTACGGACATGATGGCGAGGAATATCTGGGAGATCTTGTCGCTGCCTGAGCCCATCGTGATCATGCGTCCTCGAGATGCGAAAGTGCATTTCCACGTCGTGCAGCGACTGAACGAGGACGCGGTTGTCTACTACTACACGCTGGAGCGTGAGGACACGGACATTCGAGTTCGAGCATTTCTCTTGGCCATGCGTGTGGATCTCGGACAGGATGGTTGCATGGTAATTCTTCGCAACTTGGACCCAAAGACCTACCTCCAACACGATGGAGACTGCACAGCACCGGTCCGTCGCGGACGGCGGAAGGTGGAGCCGCACAAAGAGAATTTTTGGCTGGATGTGTTCGTGTGGAGTTTCTACGAGTACGCGGGTGAGCAGCTTGACGACTGTAAACAGACTTTCGGCGGAGAGATTGAAGGCACGACACTCGCAAGTCCAGGATGGTGGTCGATTGAAATATTGGAGATGGCTCTGCGCATGGAAAGCAGGGGAATCGGCTCGAGGGGTCTACTGCGATGGTAGCACAGTGAAAAGGAATGCCGTGGTGGCGAAGAGTTTACAATACCTGTATTTTATTAATCGTGCCAGTACCCGGTACATGTACCTTGAAAGTATGCACGATCATTGTACATGTACCACTGCTGCTTGGCATACATTGGCTTGCTCAAATTAAGGATCTCCTTAATTTTTTACTACAGTATTTATTGACGCTGCGCCGCTTGCACCCTACCATTTTATACCAAATTATGGTGGGGTGAGCAACATGCAAGCGGCGTAGCGTTGATAAATAATAATGCAACTCCTTTCATGCTCAGCTGATGTACAGTTCTACATGTACAGTAGATCCTGGTCAATGTGTATGAGAGCAGACAGTATCGACTCTAAAATGTGAGCACTGGTCAACTGTTCTTTGATTCCACGCTTGTAAAGCATCTGTCAAACTCGCATCCAAATTTACTGTGACGCTATCCGTACTACGAGCTGAAGCTGGATTCGTGTGGCATGTGGGCGCTCTGCCGCGCCTGCAACTTGAACTCGCTTCGAACCTCTGCATCTGTAAAAGAAACAAGTCACGATGTGGGACTTCGATTTTAGTGTATTTCATCTTGCCTACAACTGCCTAGTCTAGACTACTTACTACTAACGCGCGTTAGTCGCTACTGTATCCGCTGCCTCATACGGAAGAGCTACTACTGTACTTTCCTACCTTGTTAAATATGCGTCAAGCGCCTCTCAAGTGTTATAGCAGCCAGTGCTTGCTCTGGCCCACTGCCTCCTGCCATCGCACAACACCAGCGACGACCTCGTTGGCCAGACTCTGCAGAACGCGCTTCGACATGTGCTGGGCGGAAGCCCCCACGATCACCTCACACACTGGCTGAGCGCACTCATCATACTTGTCCAACAGCATGAACCACGCCAGCACAGGAAGGTAAGTCTCCTCACCAGCTGCGAAGGCCTTCTGGCCCGCCGACAGCGGCACTGAGCGCATGCTCACGAGGTAGCCACCATCGATCTGACCTCGAGCGAGCACCACGATGCTGTGCACCACAGGAGCGTCGTAAGTCGGAGCGATGCCTATACGTACGATTACGCAGTCATCGTTGATGGTCTGCAGTACGGCCAGGTCCTTGGTGAGTGGGAAGATCTTTTGAAAAGCCTCAAGCACAGTTAAGAGGTTCCACGTGTTGAACACAAGCTCACCCGACACGATGCCGGGGAAGTCTTGGGTCATCATCAGCTCGAGTGAGCTCTCGTCACCAAACTTGGTCACCTCGCGCTTATCTTCACGCCAGCCCAACACTGAGGTGGCTGCAGATTCCGCAAGCTTCTGTTGATCCTTGAGGGCCATAATGTCACTGTAGCTGTCCTTGACCCAGTTGAAGGCTGCGTCGCTGGTCATCGGCTCAGAGAAGAGGACTTTGAGGTACGGCGGAACAGCCTCGGTCTCGATACAGTAGCCACCAATGGGAATATCGAAATCACACGACTCCAGAGTCATGCGTTTACTGTCCGAAGCGGTTTCGTCGGTCTCCACACGCTTGCGCTTAAGGCTCTTCTTGGCTCCAGCCGCTGTCAGGGATAGCGTGGCATCGATCACCAGCTCAGCCTGCATCGCCTGCAGAGCGCTGTTCTGTGAGTCCATCTGGTCCAGCTGCTCCTCAAGATACCGTTTCTCGTCGCGAAGCCTATCTACAGTCTGGACAAGGTCCAGGTATGTGGAGCTACCGGGGATACTGTGGCCCAGCTCGCCGTCGACGCACTTGCGAGATACCACAGTTTCGATCATCTTCCGGTGTGGGAGCACCTCCTTGGTGCCAGCCTCGGCGTCATGCTGCGCCGCCAGCTCAGCACGCTGAAGCTCCAGAGCCGCGACCGAGTCGCGCATGTCGCGGATGCGATCCTTGGCGGCGTTCGTCCGTCTTCGCTCGTTGGCGTTGTGCCGTTCGCGGCGCTGTTTGGCTGAGAACTGAGACGTGCGTCCGCCACGTTGGACTACCAAATTCGGCACGTCATTGCTTGTCGAGGCGGTTGGGGCCGGCCGGGAAGCCGAGATGGTTGTACTGGTGAACACAGCGGCGGGGAAGGCGGCGACCTCCTCAAGCACGTCAGGGTCTTGGCTCTGCTTCATCTTGGCGACATCTTGGTCCGCTGCGTCATCCTGACCATTCGGCAGCGGGTAAATCTGTTGCTGCGCGCCAGCCGGGGTATCATGTCCATTGCTCACGTCTAGCACATTGTCGAGATCGCACTTGAGAAGCACATCCGGACCAGGGTCGGCTGTGGCGAGCGGGAATTCGAGCAGATCCAGCAATAGCGAGTTGGCGCGATTTGGGCGCGGCTCGATGCTGCTGTGCGACTGGGTAAAGTTGTTAGAGGGCGAGCAACGCTGCTGCTGAGCCGAAGACCCCTTGTCTTTGGTGGGCGTGATCGGCATGTTTAGGTCCACATAGATGGGGGGGACGAAGCGGTGCGGGTAGCTGCTCATTTGACCTACAGAAGAACCTGTGACTGTGCTCGAGTGCAATTCGAACTTCAGGGTGTTCCTATCCGTGCGAGGAAAAGTTTTAAGTGACACGGTGGATCTGGACCAGAACCTGGTGGATTGGGAACTTCCCGTGACCGTGACGGAAGTGAGCGAGCTGGTCCCGTGGGCGAAGAAAAGGAGCACAACGGCAAAGCCAGATCGCATTGCTGACAGCGATCTGAGCAGCTTGGCAATCCAAGCTAATCCAAGCTGTGCGTACGGTATTAAAACACCAGTTGGCCCAGCCAGCCAGTGGGAATCCCACGCACCAAGTACAGTACATGTACTGTTCTACCGTACAGTACAAGCCCAGTTGAGAATACATGCACTGTATCGTGGTGCCTTTGTAGTACCGGTACAGACACAGACTGTACCGGTATTGTAGGCTGCAATTTGCAGTGCAATGGACATTAACTCAACGCGGTGCTCAGTGACTCAGTCACGGGCGTTGCCCACAGCTGTGACAGCTGCTAGATCCGGAGCTGAGCTGAGCTCAGCTTCAGTCCCTGTGGGACTCTCTGTTGAAAGGTAAAGGTGCGTAGTAGGAAGCAGAATGGAAAGTGAGATTAGTGAGTGACCGTTCCGTCATTTATCCTTCCTATACTTACCCTCGCACGCCATCCGAGACCTCCAGCTGGTCGGCGCATCTCCTGAATCCTGGCGCCAGATTCATTGAATTTCAACACTCCTCCTCGCCGCCAGCGTTGGTCTGCTGCACTCCTTAGTGCAGGCCGACGACTGTCCGCAACTCCGCTAGTCTTGGCGCCTCCAGAGCCTTCGTGAGGATGTCCGCAGGCATCTCCTCACTCTGCAGGTACTCCGGCTTCAGCACGCCGTTCTTCGTGTAGGAGCTCACGAACTTCATTCTGACGTCGATGTGTTTGGCCTTGGAGGATGATCCTTCGCCGTCGAGCTGCTTGAGCGCAGCCTGATTGTCGACACGCAACGACATCGGGCTGTTGAACGCGACGCCCAGCTCATTGAGCAACTCGCGCATCCCCAGCAACTCGGTGGCCATCACCGACGCTGCCGTAAACTCCGCCTCCATGGTGGAGAGGCTGACTCCAGTTTGCTTTCGGCAGACCCAGGACACGGGCATCCCGTCGACAGAGAGCAATCCGCCCGTGACGGACTTCCTGTCGGACTTGTCGGCAGCGAAGTCCGCGTCGCTGTACGCGACAACGTTCAGCGGCTCCTCCAACGGGCAATTGCCCTTCATGCTCAACCGCAAGGTCATCGAGCCCGCGAGATATCGCGCGATCCGCTTCCCAAGCTTCCAGTCCGACATCGTGGGGCTGTGTGTGCGGCGTGACACCTTGTGGACTGCGTACGCGATGTCGGGGCGCGTGCACCGCGCCACCCACATGAGGCTGCCCACGAGGGATTGAAACTTGCGGATCGTGATCTCGTTGTCGCCACCAGTGAGAGGCAGTAGTACGTCCGCGGTCTCGTCGACGTCGTTGGACTCCGCCCCAATGGGCGTGCGCACGCCGTGCACGGACGACATACCGTGCTCGCGCAGCATCTCCTTGATCGCGAGCTCTTGGTCCAGATCATAGCCCGTCTCCTCGTCATATACCACGCGAATGCCCAGGAACTTGTTGGCGGGGCCCAAGTCCTTGATCGCGAGCATGCTGAGCTCGCTGAAGAAGGCGTCGACGGCCTTCTGCTGCGTGCCCGTGACCAGGAGGTCGTCGACATATACGCCAACCACCAGCAGGGTGCCTTCGCAGGATCTATAGTAAACGCACATGTCCGTAAGGCTCTGCGAGAAGCCGATGTCCGTTAGCGTCTGGTGAAGGAGCTGGTTCCAGAGGCGTCCGGCTTGCTTGAGGCCGTACAACGTCTTCTTCAACTCCAGTACCAGCTCGTTGTCGCTGGACACGCCAAGCAAGCACCTCAGCTCCTTCGGGACCACCATTCCGCGCGGAATGCGCAGGTATATGTCGAGCTCAGGTTCCTTCACCGCCTTCACGTAGGCGTTTGGCACGTCGCCATGCTTTGTGGGGACGCGCCACTTCCTGGCGAGCACGAAGATCAGCTTCACGCTGCTCATCTCGATGACAGCAGAGAATGTCACGCTGTAGTCGATCCCGAACTGTTGTTCGTTCCCGCAGGCGACGAGGCGCGCCTTCAGTCGCTCGATGGCGCCCTCCGCGTCCACTTTGGTCTTGAAGACCCACTTGGTATTTAGCACATGGCAGCCCTCGGGCTTGCGCACGATGCGCCATAAGCCGTTGCCCTCGAGCGCGTGCAGCTCGTCAGCCATCGCAGCGAGCCACTTGTCCTTGTGCTTGCTGCGCATTGCCTCCTGGTACGACTTCGGGTCGTACTCGACCACGCTGTTCACGACGTTGCGCGTAGTCTCCTGTGACTGCGCGGTCTCGTTCGCCGTGACTCTGGCATTCTTGGCCACGGAGAGCGTCACGTGGCGCTCGCGCGACCACGACTTCTTCTTCTTGGTCGACGTGCGCTTCTTCTTGCCCTTCACGTTTGGGGCCCCAGCTTCCAGCGCTTGAGCTCCGTTGTCCGCCGGCTCGCTGCCTTCGAGCGTCTCGCCGGCCTGAAGGTACAGCCGCTGCACCTGAAGGTTCTGATTCTTGTCGAGCGTCTCAATGTTCTTGACGTGCTGCATCGTGACCACCACGTGGTCCTTGGGCAAGTAGACCCGATAGCCCTTGGTCTCCTCGCCGATGCCCACAATCATAGCCGTCTGTGCGCGTTGCGCGAAGTTCTTTTTGCGTGGATCCCGGTACACAGTGCACGGCGACCCGAGCACCACGATCTCGCCGAGCGGTGGTGTCTTGCCCGTCAGTTCCTTCAGCGGTGACGCACGCCCTGGGTTGGAGTTGGTCGGGGCGCGGTTCAGGATGTACGCGGCGTACTGAACCGCGTCACCCCAGAACCTCAGCGGGAGCCCGCAGGCGAAGATCATGCACCGCGCCATGTTCATGATGGTTCGGTGCATGCGCTCCGCCTTGCCGTTGCTTGACTGGTTGCGAGCCTCGCTGCGCTGCCTGGTCACGCCCGTTCGCTTGCAGAACAAGTCCACGTTCTCGTACTCGCCCCCAGAGTCGGTGCGGAGAACGTGGATCTTGCAGTTGAACGCCTTCTCGAAGTAAACGAGGAAGTGTTCGAAGAGCTTGGCCGCGGCGTCCTTGGTACGCGCCAGGAACACGCGGCAGTAGTTGGACTTGAAGTCGATGAAGTTGATCATGTAGCGGTTGCCCAACCGATCCTTGGGTGTCATCGGCCCCTTCAAGTCGGAGCAGATGACCCCACCCACCCTATCGATGGGTGAGTGTGTGCCAGTGTCCTTCTTGGACCGTCGGTTCTTCGTTTGCTTGCCCTCGGCGAACGTGAGGCAATTGACGCGCTTGCGGTCGGTCAGGTGGATGCCCGAGCTCGGGTCCTTGGCAAGCAGCTCCACCGTGTCGTAGTTGAGGTGGGCCAGACGCTTGTGAAAATCCAGCAGTGTGCCCTGCTGCACGTCCCTCGGCACCTCTGCAGACTCCGTGAGCTCCCGGCTTAAAGCAGCCATGATCACGTTCGATGGCAGCTCGCGCCTCGGCTCCACCACGGCAGGCACGACCAAGACGTTGCTCCGCATCTCGACGTCAAACGCCACGCGTCCGCCGTTCTTGGCCGCTACGACGCGTCTTCCGGCACGGTGAGTCAGCTCGAAGCCTCGCTTGTCGATCATCCCGTAGGAGATCAGGTTGTGCACCACGCCCTTCGCAAAGTAGACGTTAGTGAGCTCCACCATTTGCTCCTCACCGCACGCTGTGACGCCCAGCAGCACATTGCCGCGCTTGGTGATGTGTAACGGCTCACCGTTGGGTTGCACGCACTCGTCGCTGCACTCCTCCACGTCCTCGAGGAACGACTCATCATTCACGAGGTGACGACTTGAACCACTGTCTAGGATCCACAGGTCGGTAGTGTCGCTGGTGTGCTCGCCGACGGCCAGCGTGATGTCCCCTGGCTTCTTGAGGTCTGGACACGCTGCCCGTAGATGTCCGGCACGGCCACACTCGTGGCAGCTCCGTGTCTCCTTGCGCTGTTTGGTGTGGTCCTTCACCACGTTGACCGTCTCGCGGCCCAGCGACTTCTGCTTGGTCGCGTCGGTCTCCCACGACTGCGCGAAGTGTGCGAGCTCCTCGGCGTGCTGCAGGAAATCGGTACGCGACTGGTCCACCTTGGCCATCAACACCGTACGTAGTTCTGCGGAGGCGTACTGAACGATGTTGTTCAGCACCAAGTAGTCGGCGCCGCCCCCCGTGGCCTCGGAGATGGCCACGAGGTACATGTAGTGCTCGGGCCACGATCTCTTGGTGTCCTTCGGCGCCGTGAACAGCTTCATGGCTTGGGCGGGTGTAATGTTTGTCTTGAACGCGTCCAACATCCGTTCCATGACGTACTGCAACGTGGGCAACTGGTTCCACCACGTGTCCACCTGCTTGTTGTAGTACCTCTCGGCCGTACCCGACAGGTAGTGGCCGAGAAGGTCTACTTTCACGTCCTCAGACCACGCGAAGCCGCACGCCGACTGCCCGAGCGCCACCTGCCGCTCGAATCTTCTGCCCCAGTCCAGGAAGCCGGAGCCCAGCCCGACGTACAGCTCCTTGCCGTCGAACGGGCGGATCGCAAGCTTCTTTTGACGGGCGTCCGGGTATCGGAACGCCCAGCCCTGATTCTGCACAGGCGTGGCTTGTGCTTGAGCTGGTACCGGCGCCGCAGGCGGTTGCTGTGCTTCTTGATTAGCCTGGGCGGCGTGCTCCTCCGCGAAGAGCCTTGGCAGCTCAGACATGCCCGTCTCGTGGACCCCGACATCCGCGTGTCGCAGCCCGAAATACTGCGGGTGAACTGTCGGCCGGCGAGGGGCCTGCGTCTGCGGCGTGCCGCTCAATGCGTCGATGTGCATCCTCGACCCGCGTCCCAGGGCCGACGCAAAGAGGCTC